GTCGCCGAAGGCCGGGGCCCCTGGACCTGGGCTCGCCGTTGGGAGTGAGCCAACCAGAGAGAACTGGGTAAGCGGGGCCCTGCACCCAGGGGCGCTGACACGTGGGTGGCGTGTAATGGGCGCATGGAAACTTGGTCGACTGTCCTGATGATACTGATCCTAGGAAGTGCCGTCAGATGCGATAACTGACGATTTCACACGATCTGACCGCAGTCGCTGAGACCTCGGCAGTTTGGTCGCAGTTAACGAGCAGAATCCGCCCTAAATGCATGTCCTTTCTTTTCCGACAGCGGACCCGCCGAAGAAGGCCGAGGTCGGAGCGGCGCCGCGCCCTGCGGTAAGGCCCAGGCTACCGGGGTTTAGTATGGAACGTGGGTGTCTTGTTTCCTTAAATGCCCTGATGTTGCCTGACGTTGTACAGTTGTAGTTTTACGTGTTTATGATGCACTACCTCATTGTATAATTGCAGTGGCTAGGAGATCGTTGCCCCTAACGGTTACATAGGGCCTAACCGGAACTAAAATCGTAGCTGTACGCATAGACAAACTCCATTAAAATGTCTCCTGGCTTAGTCAACGTTAGTTAATCCAGGTGGTGCCTGGAGTAGTACTGGGAATGGTGAGCTTGACTGCTCTGATGAAATCACCCATAGGAAGTGCTGTCAGAAGCGATAACTGACGATAATTCCTGGCTGACTGCAGTCAACAAGGGCTCAGGGCTCAGGCGGCTGGTGCCCAGGGGTAAGTTGGTCTGCGCTGTGACCCTTACTTTCTACATTCACCCAGGTTGCAAATGAATGAACTGGCAAGAGCCGAGGACTGCAGTGAGGAGCATTGGCCTGCCACGAGGTAAGCTGTGGTCTGGATAGGTGAGTGGGTGAGTAGGCTTAGCTGGCAGTTGAGTCAGGTGAAGTCGTACTAGGTCAGATATTTGCAGTGGAGCAGAGTGCAGAGCATACCCTGGAGCTCTTTTTTCACTTTATGGATGTATAATCCTGAGAAAATTGCCTTCCTGCTCTAACATGTGATTTTCTTCATTCTAAAAGATGATAAGCCTTAGGTTTGTAATGTTTAAAATACTGAGTAAAGTTTGTAGTTGAGACTTGTGATCAGAACTGCATCTGCTGACTGGGTGTGGCGTTCGTTCCCCCAGGCTCCGAGTGTGACCTGTGCAGGCCAAAGCTGGTGATGGTGGCAGTGGCAGCAGCTTACCCTGGGGACAGGTAAGATTCCATCTGGACAATGATTGCCCCCATGGTCAATGAATGAGCAGCTAGTTTTGTTTGCATAAACTTGCAGAAAAGGATATCAAATGATGAAATCACCCAAAATAGCTGGAATTACCGGCAGATTGTGTGGTGGTGAACTTACGGTTTTCTGAAGATATCCTATGCTGTGCATGACTGCTGTTTGGAGTAGGAAGTGTGATTGATACTTAGTTCCTTGCAGGCTGTTTTTTCCAACGGATGGTCCGCCATGCTGCAGCAGGGGCAGAACTTGAAGTTCCAAGGACCAGTAGTCACAATGAATTTGGACTCCAGATGGAAACCTAGGCTTCAACATTTGGTGTAGAAAGTCTCACCTTGCCCCACTGGTTTGACGCAGTGGATAGAGCATCGGCCTGCGGACTGAAGGGTCCCAGGTACAATTCCAGTCAAGGGCATATATGCCCAGGCTGCAGGTTTGAATCCCCAGTGGGGGGTGTGCAGGAGGCAGCCGATCTATGATTCTCATCAGTGTTTCTCTCTCCCTTCCTCTCTGAAATCAATAAAAAATATGTTTAAAAAAAAGAAAGTCTCACTTTGTGCTAAGTATCAGAGGCCAGTCTTACCAATGAGGGCCAAGAAATAGATTTTGACCACCTTTTTGTAGGATAAGCACTTTGGTGTCATTACATTCATGAGTTTTCTAGTATTGTCCCTCGCTCAAAAAGAGCTTATGTACATTTTAGTATTTGTTATATTAGGCAAGGGTCCAAGTTCTGAAGTGTCCTCCTGAAATTAATATCCATGCAATTATCATAAACAATAAAGGATGGTCTTTGGTATTGGTTCTTAAAATGTGTATTTGAAGAAAGTTAAACTTGGTCACTGCTGGGAAATATTCGCAGTCCAGGTACTCAACTTCCCTGTGGTCTAAGCTGTTCTCATTTGCCTTGGAGGCTAAAAGTCCCAGAGCATCTAAGCATCCATACACTTATTCCAGTCCCTAGTTCCTGCCTGGCCCTCCTAGTAACTCCTAAAGTGCTGCGCTGTGCCTGCCCCCATCTTGCCTTCCTGAGTTGGAATTTTGCCTGCTAGCCTGTGGGGCTGCACTTGCTAGTCCTCTGATGGCCTGAGGTAATCATCAGGCACCTGAAATGACTTTCTCTGGCTCAAGATTGGTTGCCAGGATTTGCTGTTTATATTTAAAAAGGATTTTCAAAAGCTTGGTGGGCCTTGGTTAAGGGTGGATGGAAACTTGCTTTGGGGAACCTTGTTTTCTCTATCAAGGCTGTCTTTGGAGGGACCAGATCTGCGTTCCTGTCCTGGGTGTTTGAAAAGAGCCTTCCATGATAGCTTTTGGGAATGTGCTGAGTTAAGGACTATATTCAGAGACAGTACTGGAAAAGGGTCCTTACTGGCAACACTGGAACAACCCATGGTAAAGTCTGTCTGTGGGGGTGTGTGTGGGGTTTCTCAGTGGGCTCTTCCATCTGCTCCCAATACCTTAGGATGTTCTACATTGAAGGCTGGTGGCTGGTTCCATGGCCAGGCCTCTGGAATTATGGGGTTAAGGGCTGAGACTGGAAGTCGGTTACAAGGAGCCCAGGGGTTCACAAGGAGGAGGTAGGCAGCCTGCAGTCCCAAGGGCGACTGCTCCTGGAATCTGGCAGCCAGGAGCCCAGGCTCCCTACCCCGAGGGCCACTCCGGAGATGGGGTACCAAGGTGCCAACCTGCCTTGAGCACATTTAGCATCTGGCTGGAGTGTGCTGCCCTGAACAGGACAACTGTGAAGTAAAATTAGAAAGTCCCGGGTTGGATGTAGGCCCCAACTACACTCACAGCTCACGCTTCCAGCACCCCAGCCTGTAAGTGGGGATGCCGAGGGCTGACTCTTGAGCCAGGGATGGCTTCTCAGGAGCCAAACAAAGAGAACGGAGATGGACGAGGGGTACGATGGACCCGTGAGAAGTGTTCACTTTTCCCAGATTCTGTGATCTGGCTTCCCATGGGGGGCTGCTCGGGTAGTGACTCTGCCTCAGCCATCATACCCCACAAGGACTACCTGGTGAGGCCCCCACTTCCATGTCACGTCTGAGCTGGACCTGCAGTTTCCCTGCCCTCGAGGTCTTTGGGGGGGACCACACAGTCCCCTACAGGGTCCTCCTGGTCCACTGCTCCATCCCAAGCCTCCTCTACACAGCCTGGGCTCTCGCCCAGCTCCAAGATGGTGGGGAGGTGGCCCTGCTTCGGGGAGCGCTTGCGCAGGCTGAGCAGGAAGGGCTGGGGCAAGGAGAAGATGTCCACGTTGTTGCCCAGATCAATCCACGTGACATTGGGAAACTTGCTGGGGTCCTTAAGGGTGTCGGTGAGGTCACGCAGCAGCGCTCGGGTCAGCCGGTTGCCGTTGAGGGCCAGCGTGGTGAGGCGGGGCAGCGTGCTGAGTGCCGGCAACAGCTGGAGGACCATGTCATCCGTGAGGCCCGTGAAGCCCAGCTCCACACTGTCCACCTGCTCCCCACAGCGCTGCAGGTAGCTGCTCACCCGCTCCAGGTCACGCGAGGTCAGCGGGATGCCCGACAGGTCTACCGTGTTGTCCAGAGGGCTTCCAGCCAGGACAGCCTTGAGGCTGAAGGGGAGAAGGGACAAGCAGGGTTCAGGTAATGGGGCCGGGCTCTCTCCCAGGGCAGCAGTGACGGCACCACAGAGCCAGCCTCTGCTCCAGGGATGGGAGGGAACAGACCCTAGTCCCCCGGCACTCCCCCACATCTCGGCCTGGCTGGGCCCCGCTGGCCAGAGCCGAGGGACCACAAGGGAAAGCCCAGTGCTTCTGCAGTGACTAAGGGTACACTCCAGCCACAGTGCCTGGGTTTGCATCTTAACTCCTTCCTACTCAGTGTGACCTTTACTTATTAGGTCCTTAACCTTTCTGCTCCTCAGTTATTTTCTGGAAAAAATGGAGCTAGTTGAATGCTACAGGGTTGTTACGTGAAGATAATAAATGCAAAGCATTTAAAACAGGGCCTTGTTTGGGTGATGAATAAATAGTTGCTGCTGACATTATTCATCACCTGAGCACTTCCTGTGTTAAGGCCGTCTTCCCCACCAGATGGGGATCCTTAGGGAGATCCCCGCAAGACAGCAGACAGGGGCTGCCAGCCCGGTGGGAGCTGCTGACCCTGGTGGCCGAGTGCTCTCCACTCCCTGCCTTCTGCCATTGCTCTTTCTTCCCCTGCTCCTTGCTCTGGCCACAGCTCCCCATTTCCAGGTGTCTCAGGAGAGTGTGTGTGTGTGGT